TTTCCTCTACTAGTTGACTTCTCGCTAGTTTCTTAACTTCAAATACTTGCATGAGACCAGAATTACTATTTTTATTTTTTGGTCTTAATTTTGAAACAGGGTCTCCCTATAGCCACAGCTGACCTGGATTCCCTATGGAGACCAGGCTGGCCTCGAACTCAAGAGATCCACCTGCCTCTGCCTCCCAAGTGCTCTGATTAAAGGCCTGTGCCACCAAGCTGGGCAAAAACTTTATTTTGTTTATTTTTATTTTATGTGTATGAATGTATTGCCTGTGTGGTGTAAGTGCACCTGTGTTGTGCAGTGCCCACATGTTAGCTGCCATGTGGGTGCTGGGATTTGAACCCAGGTCTTCTGCAAGAACAGCCAGGGCTCTTAACTGCTGAGCCATCTCTCCAGCCCCTCAGAATTACTATTTTAAGAGAATACAATCTATTCAAATGTGAGGCAGTGTCTTTAGCAGTTGATCCATGCTGATGAAATGATCATAGGAGAACATTTTAAAAAAAATTTTTCTTTTTTTTTATGTGTGTGAGTGTATTGCCTGCATGTATGCGAGTGCACCCATGTTGTGCAATGCCACGGAGGTCAGAAGAGGGCTTCAGATTCTCCTGGAACCAGAGTTAAGGATGGTTCGTAGCCACCATGTGGGTGCTGGGAATCGAACCCGGGTCCTCTGCAAGAGCTAGTGCTCTTAACTGCTGAGCCATCTCTCCAGCCCCGAGAACATTTTTTTCTAAAATGACTAAAATCAGCATTTATAGAACTCTGAATTTCAGTTTCTAAAATATATGCATTAAGAAAAATCAAGGACCATGTATTAGGTGACATAAATACAAAGCAGTATTTACCATATGAATTTTATTGTAGACATCAGTTAGCCCATCTTTTACAATCAAATCTTCGAGCTTTACCCCGCCATACGGTGTGGCTCCTCTGCTCATTACATATGGGACATTAGACATGCTCTCCATCCCGCCTGCCACCATCACATCCTGCTCAGCAACACAACAAAGCCAAGATCAGTTCAGAGTTGCTAGCCCACTGCCCTCTCTACACCACCATCAACAAATGAGTACTCTACATGGATCAACTAACCAGTTGTAACACCATGAATACGATCTTCACTTGACCCTGATGAAACGTAATGAGAACTAAGATCAGAATTAGAAGCCAGGCATGGTGGTACACGCTGGGGGCTAAGGAAGGAGGAACAGGAACTCATAGCCATCTACTACACAGTGAGTTGGAGGCCAGTGCTACATGAGGCACTGTCTCAGAAAGTAAACAGAAAAAAGATTAGGATCGGACAAAGATTTGGCAACACAGAACTTTGGGAAAGTATAACTGGTATAATTTTCTGGAAAGCATTTAGAAAATCAAAAACTTCCTATCCTCAGTAATTCTTTTAGTATTTTTTTTAAGACGGGGTCTATGTAACCCTAACTGGCCTAGAACTCACCATGTAGACCAGGCTGGCTTCAAACTGACAGAGATCCACCTGCCTCTGCTGGGATTAAAGGTATGTGCCACCAGGCCCAGCATTTATGATTTTTTTTTTATGTTTTCTTACTGTATTCTAGTAACATATATAGTATTCAACAAAATGCAGTTAGATTTGCAGACAGACCTCCCACATATATATTAAGTGAGACACTGAAGTTGGGAAAACTGCCTGAAGTTTACCTGTTTTTTTTGTTTTTTGTTTTTTTTTTTTCGGTCTTTTTGAGACAGGGTCTCCCTGTAGCCTCAACTGTCCTGGAACTCACTGTGTAGACCAGGCTGGCCTTGAACTCAGAGATCCACCTGCCTCTGCCTCCCGAGTGCTGGGATTAAAGGTGTGCGCCACCATGCATGGCTTGTTTACCTGCTTTTAAGTGGCAGAATATCGAAACTGGTGTAACTCAGATTGAGGGGAGGGTAGGAGAGGAAGTGCATTTACATATTCCTCAGACAAATCTAGCTGTGCCTCTACTTATAAGAATAATCTTGGGGGCCTGGAGAGGTGGCTCAGCCGTTAAGAGCCCATACTGCTCTTCCAGAGGACCCATGTTCAGTGCAGGGCTCAAAACTACCTATAACACCAGTTCCATGGATTCTAATGCCCTCTTCTGGCCTCCATAGGCACCTGCACTCTCTTGCACATACCCACAACACATAAAAATAAAACCACATGCTGCGCATGGTAGCCACACCTTTAATCCCAGCACTGGGGAGGCAGAGGCAGGCAGACCTCTGTGAGTTCAAGGCCAGCCTGGTCTACATGGAGAGTTCCAGCTGGGACTATAGGAAGACCCAGTCTCAAAAAGACCAAAAGAAAAAGAAAAAAAAAAATCACATACAGATGAAAAATAAAAAGAAATAAATCTTTGGGAAAAAAAATCTTTAGGCTTGGAGAGGCTATTCTGTGGTTAAAAGCACCAGCTGCTCTTACAAAAGACCCAGGTTTGATTCCCAGCACCCACATGGCAGCTAACAGTCTATAGCTCCAGTTTCAGGGGATCTGACACCCTCTTCTGGCCCCCATGGGCACTGGACGAATGGGTACACTTACATACATTTAGATAAAACATTAATACACATAAAAATAAATTTTTTTTTAATCTTGGGGTTGGAAAGATATTTTTATGTGTATTGTTTCCCTAAATGTATGTAAGTGTACCTATGCATGCTCCTTGGGATCTGACACCCTCTTTTAGCCTCCTTTGTGGCACCTACATACATGCAGTATACGCTCACTGACACACGCATAAATAAAAATAAATCTTTTTAAAAAAAGAATCTGACTGCTAAGGCATGAATGTGCTTGGATATTTAGCATTTTCTAGGACTCAGTACTATGTTTATTGACAGATAAAACAAGGTGTTTCTTACCTGATGTCCACACATAAGATTTTGAGAGGCCATCATGATGGCTTTCATTCCTGAAGCACAAACCTTGTTGACAGTGGTGCATGGAGTAGAGATAGGTAAACCTAAAACCAACATAAGTCATAATTTGAAGAACAGAAATACTCATTTTCCAAATACAACTGAAGAATGTTACTATAATCTGAAAATTTTCTGCCATTTGACCATAAATGTTATGCATTTAATATTTTACTTAAGATAAACTGACCTATTTTGATATTATCGACAATTTACATTAAAAAAAGCAAAACTATATTCCTGGTACCTGCGCCCAGCACTGCTTGCCTGGTAGGGGCCTGCCCTTCGCCTCCTTGGATGACATTACCCATATAGGCTTCTTTCACTTCTTCCTTTGGAATCCCTTTGAAAAACAGCAAAATGAACATCTCAGTTTTATTCCATTTATTAGGTTATCTAATAAAGTACATGATATTACATGGCAGGAACGGCTTATTGTCAGTTTAAATTTCCTTCCTAACTCTCTAATATAAAGGAATTCAGATGTGTAGGTACCGTGTAATTCTAAGGGTTATATATACAGTTAAGTGCAAAATAAGTATTTTTCCCCCTCGACACAAATAAAGCAACTACTGACCTGCCTTTTCAATGGCTCCCTGAATTGCAATAGAACCAAGCTTGGTGGCTGGCACAGAGGCAAGGCTGCCCAGGAAGGATCCAATGGGTGTTCTTGTAGCACTTACTATAACCACTTCCTGGCAAGACAGAAGACAGTAAAAAATTACCATAGATGTGTTAACCAAATCTCCTTTCATTATGTAAACATCTATATATGGTCTAAGAAACAGACCACTTATAAATAATTAATTACCAAGAGTTAAATAACATTTGAGCAACCGGTAAACATCATCACAACGCTAGCACTTCATGGTTAAGACCCAATAGAAAAGACATGCTGGGGTGTAGCTCAGAGGTAGAGTGCTTGTCAAGCATGTATAAGGCCCTTAGAGGAAAAGAGAAGGAGACAGATGAATAGACAGAGATCCTGAATTTGATGCCAGGAACCCATGTAAAGATGCAAGGAGCGAACAGGCTCAAAATCATCCTCTGACTTCCAGGCATGCATGTGCATCCCCTCCATGCCTCACTCACACATTATATACACAAAATAATATTTTTTTAAATTGTAATTTTAACTTTGACACAAAATAATATTTTTTTAAATTGTAACTTTAACTTTGGAGACTGCTTAATAAAAACCCTGGGGTTGCAGAGATGACTCAACACTTAGAGGAGTTTTTGCTGTGCAAACATGAGGACCAGAGTTTGGATCCCAGCATCTATATAACAAGCCAGATGTCCTGCTAATACTTGTGTTTCCAGCTTCAAGAGACCTGACACACTCTTCTGGCCTCTGCACACAAAGACACATGCACTCAAACATACATGTACACCATAGACAGACAGATACAACACATCTTTTTTTTTTAAAGATTTACTTTATTTTTTTAATATACATTTTATTATTTTATGTGTACGAGTGTATTGCCTGCATGTATGTGAGAGCACCTGTGTCATGCAATGCCATGGAGGTCAGAAGAGGGCATTGGATTCCCCTGGGACTGGAGTTAAGGATGTTTTGCAGCCGCCATGTGGGTGCTGGGAATCAAACCCAGGTCCTCTGCAAGAGCAGTCATTGCTCTTAACCGCTGAGCCATCTCTCCAGCCCCGATTTACTTTATTTTTAAAGAACTACTTTTTTGGGGGGGGTCTCTTTGAGACAGGGTCTCCCTGTAGCCCCAGCTGGCCTGGAACTCAATATGTAGACCAGGTTGGCCTTGAACTCACAAAGATCCACCTGCCTCTGCCTCCACACCCGGCCATCTAAAGAATTACTTTTACCTCTGTGTATGTGAATGTCACATTTGTGAGGGTACCTTCAGAGATCAGAAGAGAACATCAGATTCCTTGGAGCTGGAGTGGCAGGCAGTTGTGAGCTGCCCAACTTGGGTGCTGGAAAAAAAACTTGGGTCCCCTGCAAGAACAGTATGGGCTTGTAACTGCTAAGTCAATCTCTCCAGTCCCATATCTCTTTTCAAATTAAAAAAATAAACAACCCTAGGGCTGAAGCAATGGCTCAGTGGTTTAGAACACCGGCTGTTCTTACAGAGGACCTGGGTTCAAATCTCAGCACCCACATAGTGACTAACAACCATCTGTAACTCCAGTTCCAGGGGATCCATCACCTTCTTCTGGCTTCTGCAGGCACTGCACAACACAGGTGCACTTACTATATGCAGGCATAACACTCATACACACAAAATAAAAATAAAGTTAAAAAAAAAAAAGAAACAGCCAGGTGTGGTGGCGCGCATCTTTGATCCCAGCACTCAGGAGGCAGAGGCAGGCAGATCTCTGTGAGTTCAAGGCCAGCCTGGTCTACATAGTGAGTTCCAGGACAGCTGGGGCAACAGGGAGACCCTGTCTCAAAGACTAGAAAAAAAAAAAAAAACAACAAAAAAAAAACAACAACAAAAAACAAACAAACAACCCTAACCAAAGCTCCCTTATGGAAGAGAACTCTGGGCATATCCAGAACCATAATTTCTTTTTTTTTTTCTTTCTTTCTTTCTTTCTTTTTTTTTTTGAGACCGGGTCTCCCTGTAGCCCCAGCTAACCTAGAACTCACTATGTAGACCAGGCTGGCATTGAACTCACAAAGATCAGCCTGCTGGGATTAAAGGCATGCAACACCACACCCAGAAGAACTCATCTTCTATACTATGAACCCCATTGTAACAGTCCTCACATTTCCCTTCTACATTCTCCTACTAAGCTCCTAAATATTTAAAAGGATGGTAAGACAGACTGTTACTCTGGGAATCATATAAAACAAAGACAGGACCCCTCAGAAAGCACCAACTAGTCTAATCTGGGTGGTCCAGTCCTTCCTTGCTGAATCTCCCACATAGCCTCTGCACTGTATCACCTACAACACAATGTGGGTTCCTGAGAGTAAACGCAAAGCGCTGCACAGGTCTAGGGGATGTCTGCTCTGTAGATTATGGAGAAGCAATAGGAATTAGTCATGGGCATCATGAAGTGTATTTAAAAAAAAAAAACTTCATATTTGAATCGTTACCTGTTCCTAGCCACTGCATAATCCTGTTAAGCTTGAAATATATTCAAGACATGTATATGTAATTGTGGTTTGGTCTGGTTTGCCTAAGACAGGGCTAATGATTCTCAATGTCTTGCATCACCCTCCTAGAAGCTTGTACTGCAGGCATGAACCACCATGTACAGCACCTCTACTGACTGCATTTCCTTTCGGCTCTTGGAAATTTTAAGGTGCAATTTAAATTTATACTTACATTCAAAGAAGGTTTTGAGACATAACTTCGCCCCATGCATCTTATTTCCTGTAAGATAAATATTTGTTATGTTAAAAAATATTAATCTTATAATTTTATACTCATCAACAACAGAATTAGAGTGATTTTCTTCACTTTTATTTCCACGTTTTCCACTGTCTGAATATATTGTTTATAAATTAGAAAGAAAATGATTGTTGTATTAATGTTCTAATAAACTTTTCATTGGAAATGTACATTTAGCTTCTGATAAGTTTGTTGTTTATTTTATGTGTATGAATGTTTTGCCTGCATGTATGTAAGTGCACCCATGCACACAATGCCCATGGAGGTCAGAAGAGGGCACTGAATCCCCTGAAAGTGGAGTTAAAGGTGGTTGTTAGCCACTAGGCCCAAGTTTGTCATTTTAAAATTTCTTTTTAAAGTATACACTTTCTAAAATGTAGTTTGTTTGGTGGTTAGTTTGGGGGTGGGGGGGTTGTTGTTTTGAGATGGGATCTCATATGGACCAGGCTTTCTTCAAACTCACAATGCAGGGGCTGGAGAGATGGCTCAGCGGTTAAGAACACTGGCTGTTCCTGCAGAAGACCTGGGTTTGAATCCCAGCACCCACATGGCAGCTAACAACTGCCTGTAACTCCAGTTCCAGGGCATCTGATAGTCTCTTCTGTCCTCCATGGGCATTGCACGACATGGGTACACTTATGTACATGCAGGCAACACATGCATACATGTAAAATTTAAAAAAATAATTTAAAAAATTTAAACTGTTGATTTCTTCTTGCTTTATCTTTGGAGGTTCCCAAGATTTCAGATTTTTTTTACATTTCTTTTAGACTTTCAGATTTAGTCACATAAAGGTTTTTAAATATTCCCTTAAAATGATCTGGATCTTTTGGGTGTTTGTTGTGATATTTCAACCCTTTCATCTCTGATTTTGTTGATTTGGATTTGCTCTTTCTTTCTTTTGGTTAACTGGGCTAAGGGTCTATCTTGTTTATTTTTTCAAGAACCAGCTCTTAGATTCATTGATTCTTTGTATTGTTTTCTTTGTTTCTATTTCATTAATTTCTGCTCTGATTTTTGT